CATCGCGCAGCGGCCGCAGCGTCAGTAGAAAGCAGCGTCCCAGCGCTGGTGCCGGGGCCTGCCCCTGGCGGCCCTCACAGTGGGCTCAGCACTGGCGTTGGCAGACCAGCTGAGCGGTGTGTCAGCTAACGCAGCCAGGGCCAGGTCACCAGGTGCTTCATAGGGACTTCACAGGCACAGGGGTGTCCCTCGCTGCAGTGCAGATGCGCCGTGCTGTGCACGGATACCGCGTTATGTGACCAAGGTGACAGGTAAAGACTGGTTCCATTCAGTGTTTCCCGCAATCCGCCCTCAGCCTATGACAAATCTTTGCTACCACGTTCCTTTTCACATTCACCGTAGTGCAGAGCACGGTTAAGCACAGCCTCTTGGCCCTGAAAAAGCAGAGCTTCTTCACCAGGGCACCGGTGCTTCAGAGATGTTTTCAGATTTTTTTAAATCTCCTACTTACTTAAATTTACTTGGATTTTTTCCTCGTTAATTCCTGATTTAATTTAACCTGGACTTGTTTCCCGTGCAATTGCTTTTCTGACATGGTTTTATGGAAGTTAGGAGGTAAAAAAATGCAGAAAGATTAAACTATGCTTAGGGAACAATGTACACAAATGTATAGAGGCATGAATATAAATAATTCATTGATACAAGAGGGATGATTTTTTTTTTCTTCAGTGGTTACACTTGTAGGGTAGTTTATCAATTAATTTAATATTCTTTTTATTCTGTACTTAGTAGATGAAATTTAAAACAGGCATTCGCAGGGTATTTTTTGTGTAGCCGCTTGTGTGAGGTATCCTGGGGATTGCCCACATGTTTTTCAGAGCTGCATCTGAAGGGTGCGAGGTCCCAGGTTGGCTGGACAAGGACATGGGCAGAGGCTGCTGCAGAGGGAACAGTACCCACTAACTGGGCTGGCTGCAATTCAAATCACTCAAGAAATTCCTTTGTCACAAAAACGGCCTGGGGACCTTTCTGTACCACTGCTCTCAACCTGGCGCCCTAATCCTCAGTGGTATGGCTGGAGCTCAGGCTTTCAGCGGAAACCACTGGGGGCTCAGTGCTCCCTGCCGCCACCGCCCGCTCCCGGCGCTTGTCGCCGCTCAATTGTCCCGGCCCTGCGAGTCCGTGTGCGCTGCCGGCGCTGCTCCGCTGCCCAGCCGAGCTCACGGGCAGCGCCCATCCCAGCGCCACCGGAGCCCGCTGGCAGACGCGCCGCGCCCCCGCCGGAGAAGGAGCGAGGCCGTTCCCTGAGCATCCTCGCAGCATCATGACTCTTCAGGTACTCACTTCTGCATCTGGTGAGACAGAGACGAGAGGGGATGCACTGTGCGTCTGTGTAACGCCGTGCTGGAGACCGTGGTATTTCTTCAGCATGAGGATTTTTATTGCAAAATCAAGGTTACCTTGCGGCAAGGGAAATCTGCTTAAACCCCTGGAGGTTAAATAACTGCATTGCTTTTCAGAAGTGGAGGGTGAGAAGCATGCTCGTTAATTGGAACTATTTCATAGGTCATGTAATATTTTGGAGCCTTACCTGTTCAGAGCATACATGGATTATATTTCTTCAGATGTGCATCTGAGTTTGCTAGGACTGAGTTAGACATGGAAAGAGAGGTACATACTTGCATTTTTAGGATCTAGATGGTTGCTTGGAGCTATTAAAGAGGAGGAAAACTTCTAGCACTGAGACAGTGTTATATGTGCATTTGGGAAGTGTAAATAATTTTTAAGGAAGTTGTGTGTATTTTTTAGGATGTATGCATCTTTGGACTGCTACATTTTGGTAGCCTTGTGTTTTGGTAGGAGAGCTTCTACTTTCTTACCTTCTGGCTAAAAAGAGAGCTTCCTTTTATGTTCTCTCTAATTTTAGCTTTAAATTGCTGTTGAGGAAATTATTGCTGGCTTTTAGCCTCCTATCTTTGTGGGAAACTATGAATACTTCCCTTGTCTTGGCCATGCCCTGATGGATTAAGCTGTTTTTCTTCTGTAGGCTTTCCTATTATCCCTTTCACTTCAAGATTTGCAAGCTCTTCTATCCCTGTCTCATTATGTCTGTCTCAGCTTAGTGTGTATTTTGCAAAGAGTGAGCAACACAATGCTCTGACCTAGATGCAGGGAGAGCACTGCCAGCAGCTTAGCAATTTTCTTCTGAGCTGCAATTATGTTGAATAGCACAGAGGTTTCATTGTGCTGTATTAGAGCTAAGAAGAAATCTCTTTCTTCAGTGGGTCAAAATTGCCAAATCCCAAACATAACACCATCTTTGCTTAATTAATAATTGCTGAAATTATGGTTTGTTTTATTCTGTCTTGAATTCACTCTAGAAAATGAATTTATTAGCCTGATGATTAAGCAATAATCTTATGGCAATTGAGCCATAAATCATAAGAAAGAGCTGAATGTGGTGTGATATGCTGTTCCATAGCTATTTACAGTTACACTTTCACATAAAAGTCAGTGGTTGAAATTTAAGATACCGCACATATTCTGCATTAGACATTATTGAGCTTGTCTGTTCACATTGGTTTGGTTGACAGTTACCAATCATATCCATAAATTTATTGAATCTAGCTGTATTGGAATGAGGACAAATGAATAAAATTATATTCTCATTAGTGAGGCTGTAACATTTATGAGTTTTGCAAACTGGTAAAATATTCTGCTGTAAATGAAGAATTCATTCAAGCTTTTTACTTTGCAAAAATGCAGTGTCTGATAATAGTCTGATAATTTGTGCTTTTATCTTTCAGGCTTATGTCTGTATATTTTTTAATGCTTTTTATTTGAGAAGTTAAAGGGAATTTTATCGGCACATGATTAAAATAAAATTATATTTTTACAGGCTGCTCATAAGCTTGTTGTATAAGCAGGCAAATCCTAAGCAACAGTCTGTGCAGAATGATTGGCTAAAGGGGGATAAAGAAAGAAAAGTTTAGTATTTAGATTTAATTTCTGCATGTTTCTTGCTGTGTAAGATAAGCATTTGCAAATTTTTTTAACTATTTTGTGATATTTGCCTATAGATGCAAATAGAATAAAATAGAAAGATAAGGTTATTAACTTAATTATTTCCTTATTTTTTTACTGTTTGTAAAAAAAACAAATTGTACAATTGAACAGGGCTTCTGGTTCATTCTTACTGTGAAGCTGTTATGGTTTAACACCACCCAGCAAATAAGTACCAGGCAGTCACTTGCTCACACACCCCCTTCACCTGCAGTGGGATCAGGAGGAGAACTGGTGGCTGGGAGAAGGGGGAGGAAGCAAAAACTTCACTTGCTCACACACCCCCTTCACCTGCAGTGGGATCAGGAGGAGAACTGGTGGCTGGGAGAAGGGGGAGGAAGCAAAAACTCATGGGCTGAGATAAGAATAGTTTAGTAATTGTTTAAAAATTGAATATAATACTGTGATAGTAGTAATGAGAGAAAGAGAGAGAGAGAGAGCATGTGCAATTAGACCCAGGAGAAGTAAGTGATGCACAATATGATTGCTCACTACCCACTGACCAAGGCCGAGCCCATCCCTGAGCAGCAATCAGTCCCTCTTGGCCAGCTCCTCCCAGTTTCTACACTGGGCATAGAACATCACTTCTATGGTTTGGAATATCCCTTTGGCCAGTTTGGTCAGCTGTCCTAGGTGTGTCCCAGCTCTGTGTCCCAGGTTGTGCAGCTTCTCACTTTCAGAGCATGAGACCCTGAAAAGTCCTTGGCTCAGTGCAAGCACTACTCAGCAACAACCAAAACATCAGGGTGCTACCAACATTGTTCTCATCCTGCATCCAAAACACTGCACTGTACCAGATACTAGGGAGAAAATTAACTATACCCCAGACAGAACTAAGACAGAAGTTTAGATCAGAAAACAGTTCTAGAGATGTGAAAGATTTCCACAGATTGAACGGTCCTTGTACATTCGTGCTGGCAGACGCTCACTTGCAGTAGTATCTTAAACTTTAAACAATGTGGCAACCTAGGTATGGTTTATTAGTGATACCAATTTCAAATCTTAGAGTTAACAGCACGAATCCTGCTTTTGTTTGCACGTGTGGATAATATTAAGAAATGTCTGGAGGAGTCAGTCATAGGTGTAGTCAAGAATGTCACATTTCTGATATTTGGATTAATAATTAAATACTTATTTTAATAAAATCAAACCTATAAAAAAACCTTGAGCAGTAGGTCATCACATTTATTTTTGTAAGTAAATGTCCATCCCTTTTCTACATCTGTACCGGTAGTGTGACTTTAAATGCTTTGCTTTGAGAAGCATCAAATGTGTACAGTTCCAGTTTCTTTGGACCACTATTTTTAATTCCTTGGTAAGGTAGTTAGCATTGCTGATTTTGTTTCCCCTCATTAAATGCTTCTCCATTATAAATGCTGTACATCTATTAAAAGTACTGTTAGTGCACAGGAGTTTTTGTGTAATTAGACTTGTCTTGCTACCTTAGTACAAAACTCCCTCATATCCTAATGCTGCAGTGCCTGGAACACTGCAGCAGCGTGGCACGGCTGGAGTGACTCAGGCGTAGGCTGGGATGTAAATTCAGAGCATGTGAGTTCCTCTGCAATCCCCATGTCCTTGCCTCTATCCGGAGGTGAGCACAAGTGAAACAGTAACAGTTTGGTAACATTGAGAAGTATTTTTATTAAAACAGGAACAAACTACATAAGTAATCATATGTTTCAGTATATAAAGTTTTAGATTTAAGAATATAATTTGGAAGTAATTTAATCTAGAATTTGGTGCAGAAACCGCCAAATCATATACTTTATTGAATGAACAAGTGTGAGATCTTTAAGAAGACAAATGACACATGGAATCTGCCTAATTCTCAGAAGGATTGTTATATTCAAAATAGAACAGCAGCATTTCTCAAACTTAAAACAGTATCAATTTTAGCACACCAATTCTTCTCTGTACTCCTCCATCTATGACTGGGGATTTGGTTCAGGAAGGCCTTGGTGGGAATCTCCCAGAAACACCTGCTTGTCAATTATGCCAACACTGAGGTTCTCATTGGGTTGGAAGATTATTTGTTAATAAACATCTGCATTGCTGCAGGATTTTTGTCTTTTCCTTTCATTTCACTTGAAGGGTGCTATGAACTGGCAGACCTAGAGATGTGTATTGTCATCATGAATCCTTCCCATCTAATGTTCTGTGAATTTACAGCTGCAGTTTAAAGAACATTCAAGACTTAATTGCTGCTTTGTAGGGAGCTAGAATACCCTTTTAATCACACATCACGACTTTTTTTAAAACATTCCTTTTAAATGCACCTCTCTGCCTGCTGCTCCTTGTTGCAACACTGCTGTGACAGATGTATATCCTCCTGTGGTGAGCACTTTTGTTTTAGAAGATTTGTGCTTTCCCTTTGTGGATTTCATATAGCAATTAAAAATTTGCAAAAATTAGAAATTCCTCAGAAGTTTGTATCTGATGAATCTCATTAGCCAAATTAAATTTCTAGACCAAAATAAAAAGTGAATTCCATCTCAGGAGGCAGAGGTGATCCATTTGGTGGTAGAGTGGCCAAGTTTCTGTGCAGGAAGCAGCAATGCACTCAGCTACCTGTCCTTACCCTATTTTGCCTGCTGTTCCTGCCTTAATAAAGCCACCAGCTGGTGTGTCCTTACATTAATGAATATGTAGTTTCATGATTCCAGTATTATAAATGAAATTAGAATTTTGACAACTAGATCTATTGAGTTAAAAGCAGTTTAATTAAAAATTAATACAATTTAGTAAATTGAATAGTAATTTGGTATAAAAGAATACAATTTAGTAAAAGAATACAATTTAGCAAAAAAATACAATTTATATATGTAATTTGGCAGTGATTGAGTATGATTAAGGCATAAGCAAAACTGACTGGGGTAGGGGGAGGGCTTCTCACCCCACCTCACATATGAAACTGACTGGGGTATTCTAGGTCTGTTGGAATTCAAGAAGAGCTGGCACAGTCCATTTAAGGAGTAGATGCGTTTATTGAAACTATAACAAAGAAGGGTCTGGAATGCTGAATTCACTAACTAAGGGGCATTACTATCTACAGGAAAAGCGCCACCTAAAGTGTCGCAATCTATCTGGTAATTTCACTAACTAGAGGGTCCTAACACATATAGTAAAAGCACTAATTATGGGGCTGTAATATGTGTAGTAAATGCACTAACTATGGGGTGTTAACATGTACTGTAAAAATGCACTAACTATGGGAGGTTAATATCTACAGGGTCTGCCAAGAGGCCCTACAAGCACAGCTCTGTGCAGGAA